AAAAATAATCCGATAAAATACTGCAAAATGATTTACAGATAATAAATGGCAGTAATAAAGCCTCCATAATATTTCTGTCAGCATTTTTAACCTTTTAAAAAAAAACGAAAATTTACCAATCTTTAAAAGCATTATATTATCACAAAAAAAAGTAACCGGTTTTTGATTTTTGCTTTAAATGATTCACAAACTATTATATTTTCAAAAAAAAATTGAGGTTGTCACTAAAAAATTTAAAACTTTAGAATATAAACTATAATGTAAGCACAGGTTAAACTTCGCCTAAAAAATAGCAAAGTTTTAATTTAGTCCCACTTCTATTCTCTTTGTAAAATTATTTAAATGATAGCTTTGATGACACATACCATACCTAAAGTATTGTTTTAATATCATTTCTTATAGGCAATTTAGAAATATCTACAAATAAATCTAATTTAAAGTTTAGACAACTCTATTAGTAGTTTTCTGTTTACTTGCGAACATTATTGTTTACCAACATTTGAATAAAATATAGCGCGTGCGCATAATAAATGTCTATTACTAAACCACCGTGCTCATACGACAAATTATCACAACGAAACAAAAAGAATTAAGAAATTCGTCAATTCATCTTTTGAAAACCACTTTAGGCATTCTTTTCGGTTTGGGTCTTTAGAGCTAAAAAAAAAAAGAAAGAAAAAAAAAAAGAATGCATACAATAAATAAATAACATATATATATATATATATATATATATATATATATATATATATATATATATATATATATATATATATATATATATATATATATATATATATATATATATATATTTAAACAATCTTCAAAATGTATTCTACAAAATAGAGTGCTCAATGTTCTTTAAAGAACAGAGCAATTATAAATAAGTAGAAAATTACTTAACAAAAATTTTTTTTCATTTTACACTGTTACATCGAAAACTTTTAAAAAATTTTCTATTAAGTGACTTTCTACTAATATATATATATATATATATATATATATATATATATATATATATATATATATATATATATATATATATATATATATATTCTGGTAAATAAATTTAAAAACTGAAGACAATACAGAGTTAATGGACAAATTAATGGACAAATAAACTTGCTACAAATCAATTAAAAATTTTATTACAAATTATGACAAAATAAACCTCCTAATATTAAAATAACAATAATAATGTAGTAAGTTAGTTAGATAAATTTATATTTAGGATTTTCCCATTTAATATGAAGTGCTTCTTTTATTTTTAATTTGTTAATGGTAGAGGCAGTATCCAAAATCTAAAAGCAATCAAAATTAGTTAGTGTTTTACAAACACTAACTAATAATTATATAAAACATAATATTCAAAATAAGACAAAATGTGAAATGATAAGCAAAAATAAAACAGTATAAGATAGATAAAAACATACCAACATATTTTCGCGCAATTAGAATCAATCATTTTTTATTAATTTATCAATTTCCAACCAATAGCATTTTATCACTTTTATCCTGCATAAAAAAAATAATTATAGATAAAATAATAAAAACTTAATTATATATATATATATATATATATATATATATATATATATATATATATATATATATATATATATATATATATATATATATATATATATATATATATATATATATATATATATATATATATATATATATATATATATATATAATCAATTATTATAATAACTAAATAATTTTAATTTAAAAACCCAGCAAACTTTCACTGGAAGTTTTCTGTTGTTTTTTTTATAAGGAACTTTACAATTTTTAAACTAATTTTTTTTTAAATTTTCAACTGTTTAAATCAACAAAACAAAAAATCATACAGCTCTACTTTTCTGTACTGATATAGATATTTAAATCTGTAAAAAACATAATAGTCATTATAAAGCAAAACTTAAACCTGTATATTAGTGAAAAAGAAAAATATTGCAGTAAGTATATCTTATAGGCAATATGATGCTTAAGCATGTTTTTTAGCCCATTTCAAAAAAGTCGAGAACCAAATGGCAGTAGTTACATTTTTTATTCTGAATAAGTGTACTTTGTTTACTTTTTCTGATAACTTATATCATCTAATTCAAATTGTATTTATTAGGATATTTTAGTATAATTTTAGATGGAAAAATTATGAAGTCAGTGGTCTGTTGGTTCTCTACTGACAAATTAGCATAACAAAACAAACAGAATTGCGAAAATTGACTTTAAAAGTATTTTCGTTTGGGTCTTTAAAGCTAAAAAAAAAAGATGGTTTATACAATATTTAAAGGACATCAATAACAATTTTATAAAAACATATAATAAATACTGTATAAAACTTATACATATATATATATATATATATATATATATATATATATATATATATATATATATATATATATATATACATACATAATATATGTATATATATATAAATATATATATATATATATATAAATATATATATATATATATATATAAATAGAGAGAGAGAGAGAGAGAGAGAGAAAGATTTTAGTTTACTTAAATAAAAACTGCATTAAAATATAATACCTGCTTTAAAAAAAGCTTTGTATATATATAACTGCTTTAAAATAACTCTTTAATATAAAACATATTTTCTTTACCATACAAATCAGAAAACTCATAAAAAAATCTATTAACTAATAATGTGGCTTCATTAATTACACTTTCAGATAATACCTTATTGTTCAACGTAAAAACAATATTAGATAAAAGAGTAAAATGGTCAAAAAACTGAGGAGGCAAAACATCACATAAAATAACAGGACCATAAAAAACTAAAAAAGTAAAAAACTCAATACCTTTTCAATGCTTTATACAACTTAATGATCATCGAGTCTGTCTTATATTGCTTGGCACACTGATTGCAGATAAAAGATTATTTACAACAGTACAGTGTCTTCTAATAGAAAAAATATAACCAGAATAATAACTATCAAATCAGAAAGAAAACATAGCTTTCATAACACCAAGCTCAATACAGTGCAGATTATTAACAACTGTTCCATTTTCACAATTAAAATTAGGTACTCTTACAAATGTAGAAAAATCTAAAAACCCTTTAATCACATTAATCCAAAAAAAATCTGTATGGTTTCTACAACTCCCATTAACATCAGAAAATGGATAAGTCATACAAGACCTCCTACCTTTATTTAACTTTTACCCCTTGAGAAGAACACCAATGGCAACCATTATAATCATTAAACTACCTACAACAAAAAACCATAGCTCCTGCAATTGTATCACACAAAAAAATAGATACATGAAAAAAAACACGAACATTATTAGATAAGAGTATACCAGTAGTGGATAGGTTAGTAAAAAATCAACAAAACAAGATAAAAATAATTGCATGTTTGGTTTTTTAAAACTGGACCAGAAACCAAAAAACAAAATATTAGTAATTTGCAATGAATATGGAAAATTATGAATGGATGCTAGCAAAGGCCACAAGGTCCACTTTGATAATTTAAAAACAGGAATTCCATCAGTATTAACAACAAGTCTAATTGTTGCTTGCACATTTTCTTCAAGACTTGCTAAATGTATCCAATTGTTATCACACATGTTTTTATGCTGTTTGTTTATGTTTAAAATATGAAAATAACTGCATTTCTTATAAAGATAGGATAACGTAAAATATTTCAAACATTTTGTACATTGCTTTTTAGTACTTAAAGCAACTTCACAAATATATATATATATATATATATATATATATATATATATATATATATATATATATATATATATATATATATATATATATATATATATAAATTAGTAAAAACACTTATCTAATTTTTATTTTCTTCTACAGCTTGTTTTTCCATCAGTTGGATCATCAGAAAGATTCCTTCCTGATGATCCTACTGATGGAGAAACAAGCTGTAGAAGAAAATAAAAATTAGATAAGTGTTTTTACTAATTTATTATTGCTCTGTTCTTTAAGAACGTTGAGCACTCTATTTGTAGAATACACTAACATATTATATATATATATATATATATATATATATATATATATATATATATATATATATATATATATATATATATATATATATATATATATATATATATATATATATACTAAGAGAGAGGGATATATATTATATATCCCTCTCTTTCAGCGAGAGAGAGAAACAAATTGTTATTTATTATTTTTAATATAAAATACTTAATCATAAAGACATTTATAAAAATTATTTTTATAAAATAATAAAGTTGAATTTAATAAATAAAATGCATTCGCATAAAGCGAATGCATAATAAACAATACTTAAGAGAAATAAACATTTTGAGCAACATACCAGATGATTTTGTTTTGTAACTTGAGTAGAACTAATAATAATTGAAACTCACACATCTTTAACAACATCATCTATTAGATGCAAAAAATAAAATAAAAAGGATTACTTTTATACAAAAATTTGAAATATTATTTTAAGAAGCTATATTATCAATTTTCCAAGTATTAACTGCTTGCAGAAGTTGTAACAGCAACGCTTTTTACATCACCGCGAAATATTTCGCAAGAAACCCAGTAAACTTCCAGCGAACTTTAAGATCACTGGAAGTTTTTCGTTGGATTTCCAGCGAACTTCCAGCGAAGTCTTTAGTTTCCATGGAAATCCAGCGAAAACCCAGTGATCTTAGTAAATTTCCAGTGATCTTTTAATTTCCAGCGAACTTTCGCTGGGTTTTTTTGTAAGGGTATGCATGTATGTATGTATGTATGTATGTATGTATGTATGTATGTATGTATGTATGTATGTATGTATGTATGTATGTATGTATGTATGTATGTATGTATGTATGCATGCATGCATGTATGTATGTATGTATAAAATCTGTGCACGTTTTGGTTATTAAATATTTAAAAACTTTAAAAAGTCTTGCATTAAAATGTTTTCAATGATTTTCAGTAATCTTCTTTTAGAAGCTTGGACTAACACATCTAAAAATATAAGTATATCTTCGTGTTTTTAGTTAGAATTCAAAATATTGTGTAAATTACAAGTAGTATAAAAACATCTAATAAATTTTTTTATAAAATATGTGAAAGATGTTAACAAATAGAAATCTTATGACATACTTCAAACGTATACACTTACGCCATCAATTAAAACGTCTAATTGATGTTTTAATTGCAAACATTATTATTTAACAGACGTTTAAAGAGCGTTTTTTACAGGAAAGATAATCAAATAGTTAAATAGTCCTAAATTTAGGGGTCGTACATAAAGTACGTACGCTTTTTTTCGCCCACCCGTCCCCCCTCCCCCTCCCTACATTTTGCTATACGCTCTTTTGAGTACCCTCTACCTCCCTAAAAGCACCTAAGCTTTTAACATAGGAACCCAACATTTTAATATATTTTTTTAATTTAGTGTCTTCATACTTAAATAATTAACCTACTGCCTCACTCCCCTATCTCATATACGCTATTTGCAGATCCCCTCTTCCTTTCCGAGCGTACGCATTTTATGGACAATCCCTTATCTCTCTATAGTTTTGAAAACGTTTTCTCATTTTGATTTTCAAGATTTAAAACCTTTTCTGTTAATAAATTTTTATAAATCTATCTATTTATCGATAGATAGATTAATGTCGAGTTAGTCTTTTTCAATATTCTTTAGATTGTAGTCTTCTTCGATATTCTTCATAATCTTTATTATGTAATATCATCTTTTATCGAGGTATTTTCCAAATTAATAGTTGTTAATTAATTTAAAAGGGTTCAAAGTCTCTAAAAAACAAAGAAGTCCAGCTGCAAATGCTAAAATTACTGAAATCCACCCAACGGCGTAAGACCAACCAAAAGTATATTCTCGAGCGCTTACTTGATTTGTATACAAACTTATTCCAATAAGTAAACAAAAAGCTGTCAAAACAAAAATGAAAAAACTAGACTTAAAAAAAAAAAAAAAAACTAAATACAAAACTTTATATCAAAAGACATGAAATACCTGAAGTATTAAGAACCCCTCCTAGTAATTTCATAGTGAACATTTTATTGATATGTAGTACGTAAAAAATATAAGCCAGCGAATACCCCAAACATCCCAAAGTCATTAAAGTTTGCGTTATTTTTAAGGTACCTAAAACAGTATAATATATTTTAATAAGTTTAATGTATTATGTGCCAGCTTATTAGTTTAATGTGTTATGTGCCAGCTTATTAGTTTCATAACATGAATAATAATTATTAGTATAACATAATACAGTGGGAGAATAATTAAGTTGGTAAACATTTTTTCACAATATATGATTTTAAGACATATGTAAAAATTCTTTTATTTTGGGTAGAAGTCATTTATATTATGTTTTTTTTAAGACATTTATATAATGTTTTTTTGTCTGTTACTGAATGCATTTGAGTGCTAGATTAATTGAAACCAAAATTTATTACAAATAAGTCAAACTGCAGTTACCTACAAACAACTCTAACTACAGTTGCCTAAAAACAACTCAAGTTACAGTTACCATCAAATAACTCAAGTTACTGTTAAAATCAAACTAAAAAAGCTTCCTACAAACAACTCAAACTAAAAAAAAGCTTTCTACAAGTAACATCAGCAAATAGTTTTAATTACTAATACAACTTTGTATATGTACTTTACCGGTCGATTTTTTTTACCGATCGGTTACCTTTCTAATTAAAAAAATATTCTTTAATTTATACAGTGAATGGAATCGGAGATACTTATGTAAATAACTCCATAATTCTAACTCCTATTCTTTTGTTTCATTAAATTTTTTTGATTTAACAATATATATATATATATATATATATATATATATATATATATATATATATATATATATATATATATATACATATATATATATATATATCATACTTAACTTTAGTTTCTCGAGGCTTAGTACATGACCTAAAACATCGTCAAATATAAAAAAAGGCTTCTACTAAACATAAACAAACAAACAAAAAATCATTCACTGATTATATAAGAGAAATTAAAAATATAGGGCGCCAATCAAGGTTACTGTTCCAGGTTTCGGGTAGAAACCCCTGTTAGAAAGAGCTAGTAAACCTTGGCTAGTAATCTTTTTATTGATGATATTACAATTAGAAAAAAAATTCTTGTCTGCAATTCAGTTTAACGTCAATTATGGCATCCGGTTGAAAGAAATTTCTACAGCTCTTCTATAATATTATATTTGAATAAAAAAATTGGCATTATGGAAAACTGTCTGACCCAAAACAATGTGTGAAACGATGGACCTGAATGAAAAAATAGTACTGAAATTGTTCATGCCTTTGAATCTTAAAATTTTCCGCCTATATAACTGCCAAAATGTACTTTATAATTTGATATGACAATATTCTAGCATATAAAATGTACTTTATAATTTGATATGAAAATATTCTAGCATATAAAATGTACTTTATAATTTTATATGACAATATTCTAGCATATAAAATGTACTTTATAATTTGATATGACAATATTCTAGCATATAAAATGTACTTTATAATTTTATATGACAATATTCTAGCATATAAAATGTACTTTATAATTTTATATGACAATGTTCTAGCATATAAAATGTACTTTATAATTTTATATGACAATATTCTAGCATATAAATACTATAAGTACTTTATAATTTTATATGATTCTAGGATATATATATTAAGCTTAAGCATAAGTCAGGTTTTAAGGTTTTTACGGCAATAAGTTTAGCAAAAAATCCAATATTTTCATTGCAATGAACAATATTTTTTATTTTATATTTTTATTTTATATGACACATTTTAAATGACACATTTTAAATGCTTATTATGCTGATTATATTTTATTATAAGAAAAAACTTTTTGATCTTTTTTCAAATACCGTTGATGAAACATGTTGGCATCTTTCTTACAATGTTTACGATGATGATGAAAATCTTAGTGGCAATTTACAAAAGGAAAATAAGCTCATATTTCAAACTCCACATCCTGGAAGTGATAAGCAAAGTGTTCCTCTTGCTTTCAATTTAACTACATCATTCTTTCAACTACCTCCTCTTTCATTTAACTACCTTAGTTTAAATTAAAAGTTATTTCCAAAAGGTTTGTGTGCTGCTGAGTTTTTACATTTTTTAATATCTGGTAAATAACATCAAATAAAAAATCAAAATATTAAAATAAATTGGTTTAGCAACTGTTACTAAGGAGGATAAAAAACCTGAGTTCTAACTCTACTTTTTTGCAGATTGGTACCCGACAAGAAACTTTAATGTGGGCCATGAATGGCATTTGCATGCTAACCATATGCTTACCACTCTCTTTTATGGGATGGCGTAGATGCGTCCCATTTGTGGCTATAATGTTTATCCCACTAAAACCACACTAAATAAGAACGAACGCTACGCTTCATTTGTGCGTGAAAGTTTCATGTGGCCCACGTGTGGGAAGCACATGTTAGCCATATATTTACCACTCTCCTTTTTGGGATGGCGTTAGTGCGTTTCATATGTGGCATTAATGTTTATCCCACTAAAAACACACTAAATAAGAGCAAACGCCACACTTCGATTGCATGAAGAAGTCATATTTATTTCTTTAGTCTATCATCTGTTGAATTATTATATTCTATCAGTTTGCCCTATACGTAATCAAAAAAAAAAACACTAAAAAAAACAAAATTATCATAAAGAATATAAAAAAAACAAATATACTAAATTATACAAATATACTAAATCGCAATATACAAATATACTAAATCTCAATAGGTTTTGTGGTTTATCCTCCGCTAGCTAATTGCCTTGTGGAGGACACATTACCAAGGTCCGCAGAGACTTGTTTCGGCTCCTAAAGGAGCGTCATAACCTGCTCTACAGACCGAGAGTAAGGTGAGTTTGGGAAGAACGAAGATATCTTAGAGTGAAAGGCAGAAGTAGTCGTGTTAAAAAGATAGTTTAAAGAAAGCGGACAGAATTGCACACGATGTTAGAGGGTGCAATAGTATAAAAAATATAATAATAAATATAAAACAGCCGATGTAAACATTATATTTTGGTATTATAGTTTAACCTCCTCCGGCTAATTGCCATATAGAGGTCACTTTACCAGAAGTCCGCAAAGACTGGTTGAGCTCCCGAAGGAGCGTCATACCCGCTCTACGGACTGAGAGTAGAGTGAGTTTAGAAAGAACGAAGATATGTTTGAGTAAAAGATAGTCGAGGTAGTCGAGTTAGAAAGATGGCATTGAGTAAGCGGACAGGATTGCACACGATGTTAGAGGGTGCAATTCGTAATGTTAGTTAGGTCACCTAACTAATGTACGCCGACAAAGTAGTGATTGATCTCACTCAGCATGATATACGCCGACAAAGTAGTGATTGATCTCACTCAGCATAATTTACTTGATCAGTGATTGATCTTACTCAGCATGATATAGTGATTGATCTCACTCAGCATGATGTACCTACTAATGTACGCCGACAAAGAAGTGATTAATCTCACTCAGCATGACCTCTCACCATAACATTCATTGTTGTCTAATTATTCATGTAAACAATTTATTTGGTAATATGTTATTGTAATTTTGTTAACAATCGATCCACAATTATTATTTTATGTTTTAAAAACATTTTCGCTTGTGTGTTTATAAAATCTCCCGTAATTTTAAACTTTTTAAAGATCATTCAATTTATTTAAGAACGCGATTTTAAAGCAACTTAATTAAACTTGTAAGAATGTACTCCGGTAGTTCATCATCAAAAAACTAACTTTATGTACCTTAATTAAACCATACAACTATAATATGCAAAATATGAAAGTTGCAATTCCCGATCTTGTTAATGTTGCAACTTATTTGGCTATAGATAAATAACAAACAAAAAGCTCTAATATATTTTTTTTAATTTGAAACCAAAAGCATTTTTTCTTGGGGGGATTTTTTCCGGGAGGATTTTTTCTTAGAATCTATCAAAAATTTTAAATTAATGCAGAAAATATAATACGCCTCAATTAAAAAGTGTGTTTGTTTGTTTACCTATACTTGTTTTAAGTGACGCATTATACAATTTATTTGCGGTTGCGGAAGTTTGCTAATGTGGTCCTCTATTTTAAAATATAATGTTGTTTAAGTATAACTATAAATTTGTATTCGTTAAATATAACTTTGATTTACAAATTTTATGGATAGTGTATTTAGAACAACAGTTCTCTAATATATTCATTACAAAACCACTCATACATTTTTATTTTTATTTACTTTTTTATTACAAAATTATAAACATTTACAGTTTTTTATAAATTCTATAATACAAAAGAAAAAAGCTAACATTTTTCAGACAAGGTTTTTTTTTTTATTATTTAGAAGCCAATTATCAGTTCTAACCAACAAATTCCCAAATCTTTCAATTTTGACAAAAACTGACAGAATTTTGTAAAACCTGGGGGGGGGGGGGAGGGTCCACCCCCCACACACCTCCGTCGGTACGGCCCTGTATATAAGTAATATAGTTTTAAATAATATGCCGTTATATACACATAAAATCACATTAAAAAAAAAAAAGTTTAGTAATGATAAAAATTGTATGCAAAAAGTAAAAGTCCTAACACACCTAGATTTTTGTTTTTTATTTTATATATTTACACTTTTTCTTTTGTATATATATTTATTTTTATCGCTCAAACATACTTACAACAGTTATGAATAGAAAATTATCAAAACGGTAAGCCACATGATATCATGGAATATTCTAGAGTTTACAATGCATTGCGATAGAATTATTACAATTGGTTAAAATTTAAAATTCAAAATGAGGTAAGATCGTAGGTTTTATATGTATGGACCATATGATCGCCACATCAAATTTAGCACGTATTTATTTAAGGATTATGCCACATTAAGTGGAATAGTTATGTGAACCGCATTATGTGTTCCACAAGTGGGCCACACTTATCTTCATCAAATACGCCATTCATCAACTGTAATATATTTTTGCACTTTTAATTCACACGAAAGCACTATGACCACATGTGGGCCACATACGCCTTTCTTGTCGGGTAGGCAAACAATGTAGTTGTTTGCCTACCCGACAAGAAAGGTGTATGTAGACATGTTACTTTTCGAAAATTTTGAAAACATAAAATCTATTATGGTTCTTTAACAGACAGAATGCCCGCTTATTACTAAATACTTGACAAAATGCAGATCCCAATACAAATAAGTATTTGTATTGGGATCTTCCTTAAATAACGTTGCTCTCAATGGAGGAGGGGATTGACTCCTGTTGTGACGAGGGTGGGGTGGAAAGGTTTTAACCCCCTCCTCCAAGAGGTACTCGATGATAAGTCTTCATAGACTTCTACGAGTTTTCCTTTACAACAACATGTATATATCTGAAATAAAAAAAAATTATTTTCTTTAATATTGATATTACATGGGCAAGTACACGCAAATCCAAATTGAGTACTATTTACATAAGTCAAAAACTTTGAATGCACTAAATGTTTAGCAAATCAACATCTACCAAAATGTACTATTTATGCTTAAATGCAAACTTAGTCTTAGTTTAGTCCCATCGCATTTTTTAGATAACTTCTTTCAAGTAAACTCTAATTTTTTTTTTTAGTCCTATTACATTTTTTAGATAACTTCTTTCAAGTGAACTCTAATAGGTATATAACAAGAGCAACAGGCAACTTTACACTGCCGAAAGGTACAACAAAGTTCTCACGGTTTTCTATTTCCTACCGGGGTCCGTATCTATATATCCAAAAATATAGAACTTAAAGTATTAAATAATGCTGCTAACTTAAAAAATAAATTAAAATACCTCATACTTATTACCAACAATTATATCGATATGGTTTTGCACGTATGCAAATGGTATGTGATTTATAATTGCATGTATGCAAATATTATAAAATTAATTTCAGGTATCGATTGTCAACTTGACTAGTTTGCTATTGATTTGTATTATTTATATTTTTGATTTTGCCATGTTTTTTTTTTTTTTTTTTTTTACATTGGCTATAAAATTCTTTTATTTTTGTGAAAAATAGTAAAAAATAAAAAGCCTTCAAAGGCTTCATAAACCCACCCTCGGTGCCGCCTCTTCTATATCATACTATAAAATTTTTTGATTGCATTTTGCGCCCCATAGAACAAATAATATAAAAAAGTATAATAAAAACATTCAAAAGGTTTTTATATAAAAAATAACTTTTCCATCTTAGCATTGAAATGCCGACTCACTAATCGGAGACTCACTTTAGCAATCGGAGACTAACTTTAGCATTTACCTTTTAATAATGTTGTTAGATTGTTGATTTAATTGAACAAATAATTAAAAAATTAAAAATGAAGATTTTTGAAAAAAGAATAAAAAAACAGAACTTTTTAAGACTTTCAAAAAGGTATTAAAATTTTATTAGAATGTTGTTATGTTTAAGTTAATTTTTTTTTAACAGTTTTTAATACTTTTTATCTTTGTTTCATAAAGTTAATACTTTGACTCTTTTAAAGTCAAGCAAATAAAAAAAAGTCAACGACTCTTAAGTTTTTATAGTGCATTATAGGTAATTAAGACCTATTAACATTTATCAACCGGCTATTAACAATTATGACATTTTACAAAGTTAGACGCACAAAAAATATTGGCTAAAACGGAGCTAATTATGTAAACAATAATTTTAAACTGAGTTTAATGAACCTCAGTTAAAAATAATTGTTTAAATTATTTGAATTTTAGATTGCTTAAAGTTAAAAATAAAACACTTTAATTTTTAAATATTAGTCCTCCACCTTTCTCTTATTCAATCATGATTTTCCAAATGCAAACTAATGAAATGTTGTTTTTATAAATCAGCAATTTCTTTAATCAATAAAGTTTTATATAAAAATTTATTTATATATTTTTATATAATTTAGTTTTATATAAAAATGAATAAACCAAAATAAACACTACTATTTAGATAGCATGAAAGTTTATATACTGAAAATTTGATCTTAAATTTAAAAGTTCTAAAATTCCAATACCTAAAAATACTTGGTATATATACATGGTATCTAAAAATAAATTCACTTAATAAAAAGATATACTACAAATGTAAAAAACGTGTCTACTAAAAATTAAACAGCTAAAAAGTTTAAGAAAAGCAGTAAAGTATTAGAATTTGAAAAATTACAAACTACATATATATATATATATATATATATATATATATATATATATATATATATATATATATATATATATATATATATATATATATATATATATATATATATATATATATATATATATATATATATATATATATATATATATATATATATATATATATATATATATATATATATATATATATATATATATATATATATTATATATATATAACAAAATTGTGAATTACCTCGACATAACTCTTAACCTCTGCGACCAGTCATACCAACCATACTGCAAACCTGATAATACTTTAAACTACATACATGCTAAGTCTAATCACCCTCCTAATATACTAAAACAACTACCGCAAAATGTTGAACTCAGATTGTCCGGAAATTCTAGCAGCGAAGAGGTGTTTAAAAAATCTGTACCTATTTATAATAAAGCACAACGAAACTCTGGTTATAAACATAATTTATCTAACCGACCTAACTTGAAACAACAACAAAATAAAAACCGTACGCGTAAAATAATCTGGTACAACCTACCCTATAGCATAAATTTCACCACAAATATAGGAAAAAGCTTTTTAAACTTGATTGTCAAACAATTTCCAATTAACAACAGACTACACAAAATTTTCAACAAAAACACAGTAAAAATCAGCTACAGTTGCATGCCAAACATAAAATCAATAATAAATTTACACAACAAGCACATCCTAAACAAAAATCTAACCATTAATAATGATAACTGCAACTGCCTTAATAAAAACAATTGTCCTTTACACAATAACTGCTTGACCAACAACATTGTATACCAAGCAACTATCACTTCGGATAACCCTTCAATAAAAAAATCATACATTGGTATTTGTGAAACATCTTTCAAACTGAGATATGCTAACCATTTGAAATCGTTTAACATCCCTAAGTATAGAAACGATACAGAGCTGTCAAAGGAGGTTTGGAACTTAAAAGATAATGATAAAAATCCTGTAATCAATTGGAAAATAATTAGAAGATGTGAAGCATATAAGCTGACAACAAAATCGTGCAAAATATGCCTTAATGAAAAATATGAAATTATTTCAAATAATGACAATAGTTTATTAAATAAAAAGACTGAAATTATATCAAAATGTCAGCATAGAAATAAGTTCCTTCTTTGTCAATTCGACACAGGCTAAAGGTAGACTTCGTGTAGTCGATGTTTTGACGTCAGATCCCATTGCACTGCTTAATTTGCATTTTAAACGGTTTTTTAATTTCTAGATTTAAAAAAATATATATGGCTGATGATTGCCGCCAGGCATGAAACTCTGAGTACCAACAAAAAGTTGTATTTTTTTCATTTTAGTACTAAATAATTATATATATGTGTATATATATATATATATATATATATATATATATATATATATATATACATATATATATATATATATATATATATATATATATATATATATATATATATATATATATATATATATATATATATATATATATATATATATATATATATATATATATATATATATATATATATAAACTTTATACCTGTTTTTTCTCTGCTAACACATATAAAGTTATAAGAATTTGCGCATACTTTCCACAAGCCCAATTGGTAGGAGCCATTGTGTGTTATGTGTTCCCAGGAGTTTCCTACATTTGATAAAAAACTGAAAATGCCACCAACGACCATCATCACTATAGTTACTTTACGTTTTACGTTCTTAGACAACATTGATACGCAACAAACCAATTAAAAAGATTTTAATAAATCTTTTTTAATGCTAATTTTCATATTTCATTTCTAATAATAATTGTTTACTATAAGAGATAATGTGAATAAGAAATAAATATGAAACAATATTTGCAAACTTTTTTTTAATTTTGGCTGCACAAAATAGATATAAAATGTGGTTTAATATATTTAAATTACAAATAATCTCACTATTTTACGTATTCTTTTATGATTTTATTGTTTAAGGCTTTTATTAGAAATTATCCATTAATGTTCGAGCAATTGTTTAAGAAATAAGATTCAAGTGTATTGTTCTTATAACAATTGCAAAGCAATAGGAAAGCTTTTAAGGAGCTTTAAACGAACTTTTCAAGTAGTTTTGATTTTCTTTCAAAAAATTTGTCAGCTTGATCGCATAAACAAAAACTTTGATTGTCGATAAAATGCAGTTTCAAATAATTAAAAAAAAAGCAACGAAAAACCTATCAAAATAGGTTGTTAAAATGACCGAGCTTAAATGGTAATTATGCTTTAAATAAGAGTCCCGGAAGAACTTTAGGTCTAATCTAAAAAAAATTATCTCTGAAAAATATTTAGAAAATTTTGCTTTTTGTTTTGAATATAAAAAAATACAACTAAAATTGTATAGTTTTGTTTGTATTATATAATATATAACTAAAAAAATTAAAGAAACACGCAGGTCCATGGTCACACGCAGGTCCATATTGATGGACACTAACAGCCTGCTCCAAAATAAATAAATTATGTAGCAGCGTACAACATTGCATAAATAATTTATATACAACTAAACAATAATTTGCTTATATCTAGTCGACAATGTTGTTTGTGCATTTTATATTTATGTCCTCGCGTGTTTGTTTGTTGTCAATAAAAAAAAACAGATTTGTTAATTAAGACCAAGCTATGCAGAAATTTGTTGCAAGTCGATAAATCATGTTTTATTCGCCTTAACTCAAGCGGCTCCATATCAAACAACTGAAGACGGCTATCGTAGGTTAAATTGCTAAAGTGTAAGATTTTTTTGTGAAACGGTTTTGCCTATGAACAAAACACTTACTGGTAGAAAAAGGTAGTTGCCATGTTTCTGACCAAAGTACTACGTTATCAAGAGCATTAATTAAATGATGGCTATGGTCCGTATTGCAAAATGAACTGTATAAGTTGATGTCATCGGCATAAAGCTTAAAGAGCATTCAAGATTGTTAACAATAGCGGTTATATCATTGATATACAATAAAAATAATGTTGGGTCTTATACGCTACCCTGAGGAACTCCGCTAACAATGTGAGTTAGGTTTGATAATGAAATTCCAACCTTAACTTGTTGACTCCAATTGTTAAGAAATGCAGCAATCCAATTTTTTAAATTACCTCTTATGTTATATAGAGCAAGTTTGGCTAATAATATAGGATGAGATACAGAATCAAATCCCTTTTAAAAGTCGGTATAATCAACATCTGTTGTTAAATATTTGTCTAGTGCAATACTCCAATCATTGACAGGGTCTAAGAGATTAGTGCATGTAGGGCGTTTATTGAGGAAACAATGTTGATTATTGGCTTAAGTAATGGAGAGTTAAGTATTTAATAATATCCGAGTTAATAATTCTTTCCATTGCACGACAACAAGCGCATGCGAGTGAAATTGGTCTATAATTTTTATGGTCTGATGTCGCTCCTTTTTAAAAAATTTGAGAAACAAAAACATGAAATCACTGTTGTGGTAGACTATTTAACTTAAAGCATCAAATATAAACAAAAGTGGAATACATAAAACAAGAGCTAGCTCTTGAGCTAGAAGAATGTTCGGCATTCCGTCAGAACCATAAGAATGTTCGGCATTCCGTCAGAACCATAAGAATGTTCGACATTCCGTCAGAACCATAAGATGTACTGAGTTTGAGACTAATCAAAGTTGAATAAACCGTCTCAACAGAAAAATTAACGTCTTCAATTTTTATCGAGTCGTTAACAAAACTAGTATTATTTGGCGAATAGTTGTTATTGTCCGTAAATTTCCAAAGTGTTTATTAAAAACTTCAGTAGTTTCTTTGTTGAAGTTAACTTGAAATTATTGTCTTTGTTCTTTATAGGGTAGTTCCTTTTATGATTATTTATTAATGTAGTTAAAGAACTTACTGAGTTTATTGTCATCAACTAATTTGAGTTCAATTCTTTTAAAGTAAGCAAACAAGGTTTGTTTACATTTGATGGTGTATGTGATGTGAGCTTGTTTATGTGAAATGGTTTTAGTAACGAAATATCTTTTCCATAAAAATAATTTACGGCTTAACATTTTCTTGATATATCTAGGGTAAGGAGGTCTCTTTTTACTATGACGTACTTTTCTTACCGAAACAAAACGGTCTATCCAAATCCTAAAATGATTAAAGATAATGCTCCAATATTTGTCAATATTAAAAACATAAAAAAATTCGTAGTCCGATTAAGTATTTGAAAAGTAAATTAGAAGGTTATCTGCATCAGCATTGATGAAATCATAAAATATTCCGAAGTCTTTTCGTATCTGAAAGCATAATTTCATAACAATCATAGTTATATATAATTAAGCATAATTATTACTCCAATATTTCTTTCTGCTCGATCGTTTCAAAAAAATACTTCCTAAACTTAGACTTAAGTAAATAGTCTTTTAAAAGTAATTATGAAAGTTGCTCTTTCTAAAATTGTTTTTTTTTTTTTTCATATGCTTTTCCTACATGTATAATAAGAAATTATAATTTATAAAGAAACGTTCTCATAAAAATAATAATCTTGATTTATAAAAACAGACAGGAGCTCAAAGAAGATACATATGACAAAGTTAACACAACCTCTTTTCATAGATTAAAAATAAAATAAGATTGTTAAAATACTATGCGCAATTATGCAAATATTATTATACAAAAAAATTTAAAATAATAATTTTTACATAAAGCAAATATTATTTTTGAACTTTTTTTTAAAACTTCGCTTCTTTTGACTACAAGGTTGACTTATTTTTGTAGAACTTTTTTTTCAAAAATGTTAGGGACCCAGCAAATGTTCAATTGAGTTGGGGCACCTCTGAAAATATTTATTATTCCAAAAAATTTTTAAATACAGTGATAATTTATGATAATTTATCGCATATATTTAGAGCTATTACAAGACAGTTTAAAAAAAATTTTTTTAATGCATCCTAATGTACAATTCCTATATAATAAAAAAATAAAAGCCTTCATAAATATTTCCAATAAATCAAGAAAGTAAATTGTATCAATATAATTTTAGTTATAGTCATTGAAATACACTGACAATTTCTTTTAAATATATATATATATATATATATATATATATATATATATATATATATATATATATATATATATATATGTATATATATATATATATATATATATATATATATATATATATATATATATATATATATATATATATATATATATATATATATATATATATATATATATATATATATATATATATATATATATATGTATATATATATATATATATATATATATATATATATATATATATATATATATATATATATATATATATATATATATATATATATATATATATATATATATATATATATATATATATATATATATATATATATGTATGTATGTATGTATATAAAAGAAACATTTAAATAAATTAAAAACTAAGAAAAATGGAATTCGATGTTCATTTAGAAAAAAAAAACTAATCAATTATTTATCATGTTTAAAAATTTTTTTTATTAACAACTTAAAGAAGTCTAACAATTTTACCGTATTTAAGCTCTTTGCTTTTTAAAAAGGGTTCCATAGTTTTCTTCCACGATATAAGTATTACTTCATATTCAGAATATTTGCTACTAATTCTTGGCAATTTATAAGTATTCCATTGGTTTATTCTACGATAATAGATTTTAAATCTTAATATCAAATACTTTAATGGTTAATCGTAAATTTATCGTTAAATTTATTTAGAATCTGCTGAAAATGTTGTTATTATATTTATACATGCTGTTATTGTGTTTTTACATAAAAATTGTTGGTAATGTTTTATATATTTCATATATTCATTATTTGCATGACATTAATAGTTTTGCTTAAATTAAAAAATAAGTTTTTATAAATTAAAAAATAATTTTTACAAGAAAAACCATTTATTGAAAGTTTTATAATATAAATCAAACGTCTGGAAAAGTGCTATTTTGTTCAAAATAACTATTTTTCTTGGTAAGTCATCAAAACTTTATTATTTTTTAAATAAGAAAAGGCCATACTCTTTAAGAGAAAAATCGCTATCTTGTAGTACTGTGCCATTTAAAGATTTAAGATATTTTTGAAACGAATTTGGTGAGGTTGTAATATTTTCAGCAAGGTTTGGTCCAATGTTTGTAAAATATTTAACTCATTCGAGATTTTTAAATAAATATAAATATCAGTTTTACTGATATTTATTCTTTGAGGTAATATATCCGTATTTATTTTATTTCTTCCCATTATATCGTTAATTTTACATCCGATGTTTTTTTTCATCGAATAGGCTTTTTTTTACAATAATATTTTTTTTAATTTCTTGAAAAAACTTTCGTAAAAGTATTTATATTTTTGTTTATATTTTATAATTGTTTTTACTTCAGTTTTTTAAAAATCTATTATAAAGTTTTTTTTTTTATTTTTTGAGCATTTTATAAGAGTTTTATCCATCTAAGAATTTAGTAGTTTTTTTTTAATTTTTTATAATTCATTCGGGCACATTTTGTTATAGATTTCAAAAAGTATTTGTAAAAAAATATTAAATGCTTCATTAACAATCTCACATTTTAAAACCTGATTCCACGTCCCTTGCTCTAGTTTATTAGAAAGAATGTTCTTATTAATTGTTAAAGGGTTGCGTTTTTTTAAAGTTATAACTTTAGGATTCCCTTTGAATATGACTTTGAAACGATTTAATTTAACATATATTAGGAGGTGATCACTATATCAGTTCAAATGACGTCTCTATATAATTGTTAATAAATATATATGGGGCTGTCTATTAATTATTTCAACAAAATAGGGGGGATGGAGCGTCTGA